TAAAACGTAAACAACATACGCTCACATGCACGAAGATTTAGCATCACCAAAAACAATAACAGCCATTCGTCCATTTTCGAAACCCCTCCCGCAGTGGCTACCCTGATGTGCACTTGTGAAATATGCGAGCCGTTTAGCTAATCTTACTACATTTTGTTTTAGTTCAACGTTACGTATTTAAGTTAAGCCAGAAGTATTGGCCTGTATAAACCCAAGATGGGTCATTGTTATTTCTTTGTGTTCAAGTAACAGGGCTTAGACACACTTTTTCTGACTTGTGTTCCTGTATTCACAAGACCAGAAAATAATTCTTCTAGAGTCTTTTTAAAACCCCTTCGCGCCGACTGTCACGTATACGTGCCAGCAACGAACACACTTACCTACCGGCCGACACGCAGGCGTGCCAGAGGATTGTTGCGTTCTCTACCGACTGTCAGTATTTGTGCCAGTACTTTGGAACGTTTTTCAAACTATAATTTTCTGCCACAAGATGGCACTGTATGTCCATATGGTTTCAGATACATGTAAAGTAGACCTTCTACTCGAAATGAGAGAAGCATGACTCACATACACGTGTTTTTGATTATATAAACAAACGGGGAAATAAATGTTTCCGAGTGGCGTGATTTATGACGTCTCTTTAAATCGCACTTTATTCGCACGTGGTAGTTGTTTACTGTAAGTACAGAAGTTTTATTTGCTCTAAAGCGTTGGGTATTTCGGTTTGCAGTTCAGTTTTTAGAAAATAATTAGATCTTGTTAGACGTGAATTCTTTGTTTATACCGTTGCAATGTCGAAGCGTCGAAAATGTTTAACAGAGCATGAAATAGCAGAAATGATGCAAAATATTTCAGATATTGATTCTGAAATTCTGATATTCTGATACTGATTCTGAAAGATTAACTGAAAGACATTTTCCAAAACTTTGTTCAGAAGAGACTGATAAGAAAATGAGACGACGATGCTTCGTTTGTTCACATTCCCGGAAAAATCCTCCAAAACGGCAAATGAGTTATTACGAATGCAAGGAATGTAACCGTAGGACTGTGTGTAGATCCCTGTTTTCAAATTTTTTCATACGAAAAGAGAATTTTAAGTAATATATTTAGTTTTTCAGATGTATAATGTTAAAATTCATAAAATGGTGAGTAATTAAAATAAAATGTGTAAAATATGCATTTAAACAAGAAATAAGGTAATTAAAGTATTATATATATAAATATTTATAAAGCATAAGCCGTTTAAATACTCTATAGAGCATTATTAAACAATGCGTTGATACTTCGGAAATTTCATGGATTTAGGCTTAGTAGCAAAAAAGCCCCCGGCCCTGGAGAGACGCTCGCGTAAGACACTGCCGGCCTCAGCGATAAGCGCGCGTTTTCGCTACCCGGCTCGAAGGGGTTAAAGTATGTAGTTTATGCTCCCAAAGAACACCGCACTTTATAACTTTTTATACAATAAGAACTTAAATGTATCTTTACCAAGAAGCATATTCGACGCGTATTCCAGAGATTCAGGGTTCGAGTCCTATCAGGAGCAATGCACATTTTTCACCTCTCCTGCTTCAAAATATCCTAACGACTCTACACTGCCTCTCCGTCCATCGTCACTAGAATACAAATGAGGGGTACTTACGTATTACCGCAGTCGCCTTAGTAGAAGCCGCCAAACTCTGGAACCATGAGCATAACACCTCTTTAAGTAACCACTGTAAACTGCAATCTGAAAATTCCTCGAACTAACTTTTTTTTTCCTGTGAAAATTTTCCAAACTCCTCCAAGGTGGCTACGCTAATACGTAAGTACCAAATGGGGTTAAGTATAAATAGCCTCTGCAGCCAGAGTCTGAGTTATGATGTAGCACAAATCACAGTCATGAGGCAGTCTTGTTCTCTGTTGGATATCCAAATTATTAATAAACTTTAAAAACTGTAAACATAACTCTCTGCCTCTGCCTTAAGAACTCGACTGCCCCAAAAAAAAAAAAAATTCACGGGAGATGAACCGCATACTACTTAAACCTGCAGTGAGTGTAATCAGTATTTGAAGAGTGTGAAATGGAACGCAAAGGATTTTGTTTTCCTTGCAATGCAGCAGCGTCAAGCCCCTGATTTGCTACCTGCTATCTTGCTGACTTATAACAAATAATTATTTACCTATTCATAATTTAGAGATGCGCATAGGTTACCAGCTTAGATATAAGCATCACAGGTTATGGGCAGCAGTGTTTTTGAGTATTTGAATTGCACTCTACAGCACATATATTTTGTTCTCATTTGAACTGTACAACTAGCAGTTCATAGCTTTATTAATACTGGATTTTAACTCTCTGAAGACCATAACGCCCCAGACGGCCTTTCATTCAAACAGCCACAACCGCCCGAAACGGCCGAAATTCTGATGTTGTCTTCTTCCCTTCCTCAAGGTATGCAGTAGCAGGTGCTGTTTCCCCAGATGCATTGTATCAGTTTATTGCAGACAGCTTGTCCTAAAAGGACTTATTTGTGGTTTCTTATCTTTATTTGTTAGGAAGTAGACAGGATGACATTTGAAATCTTCAGTCTTCTTTGTGCGTTAATGGATGGGGAGGGGAGGAAACTGCTGTGACTCTCGAAAACCTTTTTGGGGGGTTCGGTATTTTATGCATACCGGTTAGCGAAAACTGCGGTTTTCAAAGAGTTAATAAATAATCTACAAACAATAGCAATTAATACTTGACTGAGTACGTTATTCGAATATGACAAAATATGCAAGAGGTATCTTGCTTGAGGAGAAGGATGTCTTGGTGGAGAACTTTGCAAAGGAATACCGGCTCGTATTTACGTTACAAATGGAGAAAACCAGGAAAACCAACCGCGCAGCTATTCTGATCGCTTGGATAAAACAAAGGCCAAACTCCCAGTGTTCAGTAGTCTTCATTATTCAGTCACTGATAGGGCAAATCTTTAATCGAGTTTTATCACGGTACTTGTTAATTGAAACACGCTGCATACCTTTATTTAATCTCGACAACAGAAAGATCAAATCATAGAGGCATTAGGATATATTGAAATAGGAGACGTGGAAAAAGACCAGTGCCCTCGCCGGGACCCGAACCAGAACCTCTCAAATACGCGTCGAGTGTGCTATCATTACACAACGAAGGCATGCTGGAAAGAGGGACAGAATACCTTATCTACTGCCCATTTTAAAAGGCGACTGATTGTGGGACCAATCGCCAAATCCTGATAGTGAAGAATCATCATCCACCACCTTTTTATTTCAGACGCCACTGTAGAGACATTAGGTTATTTTGAAGTAGAAGACGTGAAAAATGACCAGTGTCCTCGCCGGAACCCAAACCTGAACCTCTCGAATACGCGTCGAGTGTGCTATCATTAGACCACGAAGGCATGCTGGAATGAGGGACAGAATACCTTATCTACTGCCCATTTTAAAAGGCGACTGATTGTGGGACCAATCGCCAAATCCTGATAGTGAAGAATCATCATCCACCACCTTTTTAGTTCAGACGCCACTGTATGAGACATTAGGTTATTTTGAAGTAGAAGACGTGAAAAATGACCAGTGTCCTCGCCGGAACCCAAACCTGAACCTCTCGAATACGTGTCGAGTGTGCTATCATAATTTAGACCACGAAGGCATGCTGGAATGAGGGACAGAATACCTTATCTACTGCCCATTTTAAAGGGCGACTGATTGTGGGACCCAATCGCCAAATCCTGGTCGTGAAGAATCATCATCCACCACCTTTTTAGTTCAGACGCCACTGTAGAGACATTAGGTTATTTTGAAGTAGAAGACGTGAAAAATGACCAGTGTCCTCGCCGGAACCCAAACCTGAACCTCTCGAATACGCGTCGAGTGTGCTATCATTAGACCACGAAGGCATGCTGGAATGAGGGACAGAATACCTTATCTATTGCCCATTTTAAAGGGCGACTGATTGTGGGACCCAATCGCCAAATCCTGGTCGTGAAGAATCATCATCCACCACCTTTTTAGTTCAGACGCCACTGTAGAGACATTAGGTTATTTTGAAGCAAAAGACGTGAAAAATGACCAATACTCTCTCCGGGACTGGAATCTGAATCTCTCGAACACGCGTCAAGTGTGCTATCGTTACACCACGAAGGCATGCTGAAAGGAGGGAGAATATACCTTATAAAATGTTGGTTCATAATAAGGGTAAGCATTGTGATGACCCTAAATGAAGCCAAATGTTGTAGTTAACTGACGATTTGAAAGCATGTGTTTACTGCTTTTTATTTTAGATATTGTTTTATTTTTAATAAAATCTCAAATTATAAATTAAAATACACATAGTGGTTACTTTTCCTAAATCTTTACTGTTTATTGCAAATAATAAAAGACGTTTCTAATAACTGTGTAAATGACTTGTCTGAGTTCGTAATAATTTCCTTGCAAAGTCACCCGCCTCTTCTGAGGTGGAGATGTAGAATTTATTTTTTAAAGCATTTTGGCAATAATGAATTTTGGCAATAGTGGTTGAACTTTTTGAAACTACTACATAAATATGTCTGTCGCTGTTTTATTTTACGATCCTTGAGACTGCCAATGCCGGTCGTACACAAAGTCTCAGTCTTATTTTAGGTGATGGTTCAATTTTTGCTTAGCTAATATCAACTTCGAAAAAGAATCCCCCCTTGCCTATTGTCATCCTCTCTAGAAGACTTTCAACTGGATAGTATTTTACCAACAATGTACCTTTCTGGAACTGCTCCCGAAACTTTTATTTTACTTACGCAATAAATGCTTTAAATATGTGAATTTTAAATGATCTAGCTTTGTAATATATTACCAATTGTAAAATAAATGTTTGGAGAAAATGTAATAAATAAAATTAAATAGCAAATAAGATATTTTTAAGGTTAAATCTGTAACAAATGTAATGTTTTCCTGAAGTATGTGGCCACATATTTTTTTTTTTTTAATTTCAGTAACAAGGTATAAAACTTCCCTTACGTAAAACTTACGGTTGAATGAGGTGAATGTGGGTCACGTGCTTTTTTCCGCCCCCGACATGTACTGGATAATATACAGGGTACCAGGAATGTCCTGCCCTCAGTAAGGAACAGCAAGAACAAAAGATTAAAATGAATACATACACCTGCAAAAAAATAATTGAAATATTGCTATAAACAACTGTTTTTAAATGATTACACAAGATAACTGTTCATAAATATTCATTAAAAAATAATATATACATATATATCCATTATATCCTTTTAACTTAAAAAATAGTGTTATAAGATATTCTTCATAAATTGGAAAGTGACTTATAACTTTTTTAATCAGTTAAGAAAAGCATATACGTTATCTGTTTATTGGAAGGGGTGCCTTCGTAGAGTACATTCTGAGGGAAACTGACACCACGTCGCGTTACACGTGGGGAAAACGGCGAAAATGCCCACACAACCAGCGACTCCTCTGGGACTCGAGCCTGAATCGAAATACCAATACTCATTGCACGATAGATCCTTCATTGCTGCTGGATTTGATTGCCTCAAATCATTCACTGCTGCTAGATCTTCTGTCCGTGTCGTCTGTAACAGCTTCCAGGTCGTCGCCATTATCACCGTCATAATCATTCCCTACGCAATGATCTTCAGAATCGTCAAGAGCATCCGTTTCCCTGAAGTTCTTCACTATTATTGCTTCATGATTCCATGTATCCAAAACCCACAAACAAATAAATTAGTTAGACGAAAGCAATAATTGTGTGGATGCATTCATTTTAAAATTTGGGGGAGCTCGCTTTTTGAACACTATGAGGAATGAGAAAATTACGTTAATATTTAAAAACTTTTCAGAATTTTGTGCAAAATGATAAGGAGGAGAAAAACGGGAGTAAACAGAGTATTTATTTTGTAAAACAAGGTAATACATTAAGACGAAAATATGTAATGATAAGTACTAAGGTTTATTAATGTTTTCATTTTATTACATTTTTGTTGGATATCTGAATTGCTGTTGACGTTGCGTGTACAACTACAACATTGAATTACAACACACTCTTTAATAATCTACGAAAAGCTGAACATCATAACATTACTCGAAGTATTAGCATTAAATCAGCAATCGAATATTAACGGCATAGGAGCAGCATCTTGGTCGCTTTCAAAAGTAACTAATATAAAGACAATTCTAGCTAGCAGCAACCTTATTCTCTAGCTGAGTGTTTCAGAGCGTTTTGCTGCATAGCCTCTGTCTGGTACATTTTGAAAATTGAACTAGCATGCTCTTTTAATTTTTCTGTTGTATTTTGTGTCCTGTTATTCATCATTTTTTCCCAATGGCCGGCCTAAACCGTCCACAAGTTGGCCACTACTAAAGACAGAAGCGATTGTCACTTTATTAAGGAGGCACCTAATAGGTGTGCCACCTTTGCCTCCTATGAGGGGACAGGCAGGTACAACGATGCCATCTCCGGGATTCTAATCCAGGCCATTTGGTATAGCAGTCGGCTCCCCTAACCGTTATACCGTCTGGACGGTCTGTGATTCATCAAGATTTAAGATGATATTAGAGGACTTGGCAGAATCCAATGAGAATTCCAGGGTCAATGAACCCTGAAATCGAAATTATTTCTTGCCAGACATAGGTAAGCAGATCGCAAAAACACTTAGACACTATTCATGAAATTGTGATTTTTGTAATGCAAAGCAGAGATATTTTTTAATACATTATTGCTTCAGTAATGTCAGATTATGCAGTTTAACACCTCCTAATGTTCGACTGTGTCCTCGACTTCTAAACTGCGATTCTGTTAAGATCCCACATGAATTTTTAATCTTCACGTGGTTTACTGTGCTATTTTCTACAGTGTGAGTCATCATAAAATGCGTATGACGGAACTTATAAGGATGTTAAGTTACCTAACCCATATCGTATCTGAACTTTGATTTTCCTTTTTCCATAAATGAGAGCTATTATTTTGATCAGTAGTGTTTTTGATCATATTATTTTGATTAGTAATGTTTTTGATCAATGGTGATTTTCATTAGTGATCAATAAGTGAATATTTCATCAATAGTGAGATGCGATTTATGATAGTATCCCACGTAAATTCCTAACCTTCATGTGCTTGACCACATGGTTTTCTACAGCGAGATTCGACAATTATGCTATAAACCATGCATGAAGCAATTTGTAAGGATGTACTATAAGTCAAGTTACCTAACCTATATCCTTTCTGAACTTTGATTTTCCTTTTTCCATAAATCAGATTTAGTATTTTGGTCAATAGTGTTTTTGATCAGAGCAATTTGATCACTAGTGATCAATTGTGAATATTTTATCAATAGTAAACTGCGATTTCTGGTGGGTACCGTATGGTTTTTTTTACAGCAAGATTCGGCAATTATGGTGTAAAACATATATGAGGCAATTTATAAAGATGTATTTTAAGTTACCTAACCATATTCTTTCTGAACATTGATTTTCCTTTTTTCATAAATGAGAGCTAGTATTTTGATCAGTAGTGATTTTGATCAGTGCAATTTGATCAATAGTGATCAATTGTAAATATTTGATCAATAGTGAACTGGAATTTCTGATGGGTACCGAATGGGTTTCTACAGCGAGATTCGACAATTATACTATAAAACATGTATTAAGGAATTTTGTGATATATTAATAATGATATATTGTATGTCAAGTTACCTAACCCATATCCTTTCTGAACTTTGATTTTCGTTTTTTCATAAATGAGAGTTAGTATTTTGATCAGTAGAGTTAATGATCAGTAAAATGTTACTGATCAGTGCCATTTGATCAATATTGATTTTTGGTACTGATTTTGATCAATTTGGTGAATCGAACAACTTGATCAGTAGTGTTACTGCAAGCATAGATAATTTCTGTAGAGCTCACTTTTTCCTTTTTCTTATTATCGCACAAATTGTTAGATTGTTATCATTAATCACTAAGAAAAACATTTTTAAACTATCAAAATGTAAAAACGCCAGAACTCGAATCCGTTTTCCTTGTAAACATTTTATTTTTTGGTGTCAGACATATTTTTTTCGCACAGTCTCGCAGCAAATTTAAATCAAATGCATGGAATATTTTATCCTTCGCAATAATCGGCTTTATTTTTCAACACTAATATACAATCAAAAAGGAAAATTCAGGAATATCTCCACTGCCTTTTCTGTCACTAAGATTTTAAATCCTTGCATTCCATGCGAGTATTACGTAAGTATTGAGAACAATGTATTAAGAACACTTCTGTTATTCATAACATCGGAAGCGATTTGGAAATTCGATGATCATGATCATCTTAGAAAGTCATGCTTGTATGCATAAAGTCAATTTATCGATTTTATTTGAGAGAAATCTTTCGTGCTCGAAAAAGGACCTGGATTCATTTCCAGATATTTCATCTGAATATCTAGGATGAAGATTTTAATAGTCTTCCAGGATTTTGCAAGCATGATTTGTTTTGGGGATTCTCAGTGAAAAAGGAAAATTAATCAAAGCGTGTAAAGCATTTTATGTAAAATATACGCATTCGTAATACTTCGGGCTTTGACGTACGAATCAGAATTCTTCATTGTTACATCAGTGAAATTTTGAAACTTAAAAATGATGAATGCTTTGCATTTGTATCTTAAAAGAATCATTAGAGCAGACGTTTTAAATTCAAACTGCATGCTGGTCAAACGCACAGTGTGATAAAGTATCTGACGAGCCAGACACTTTTTCTTTACCAGAACAAAAAATTTTATTAACAAAAAAAATCTGAAATGTTTCAGATTTTAAATTACATCCAAAGGGCCGTTTTTTAACATTTTGTGTGTTACCTTTCTTTATTAAATATCATGTTCCTCGCACTTAAACCATAAGATCCAGTGCAACAGCAATATCGCAAAATAGTTTTAAAACGAGCATATCTTTAGAATTTCCGATACAGAGACTCACGCGCTGGACATAAAAATGTTTTTTCTGCACAACGTTGCCATTGCTCGCTTTAAAATCCTTGAGTTTGTTAATCAAAAATTCGTCAAAGTTTTAAAAAATAGGAAATCGATCATAAAACAAATTTCAAATTTCAAATTTGGTCTTCCACATGCTCATATTCGTTGGAGGATTACGTTATTTAAAATTCGATGACTCTATGTACCGTTGTTTTATCACAATACGAGAAATATACATACATTTATGCAGATTTTTCGTTATTTAATTTCTTCAAATATAATGCAGGACTCTAACATTTTGTGGCAACAGTTTGAAAAGTGAACCGACATTTATGAGTCCGACGCAAAATGCCAAAACGAAACTAATAGTCCTTCGGGATTCAAATGCCTTTGGACTAATAAAAAATACTTTTAACTAATTTTAAATTCTGCTTACTAAATATTTATCAAAATATAATAATAATATCGCAAAGGGAAATTTTTTTTTTATTTATTAGCCCGAAGGGTCATTAGACCCAAAGGGCTATTAGTCCAAACGGCATTTTGCGTCGCTTCGCTTTTCAAACTGTTGCCAACAATTATTATCGCCCTGTATTATATTTGAAGAAATTAAATAATGAAGATTCTGCATAAATGTATGTATGTTTCTCGCCTTCTAATAAAACAACGGTACCTACAGCTATCCAATTCTGAATGACTGCGAATATGGGCATCTGGAAGCCCAGATTTGAAATTTGGAATTTGTTTTATTATCGATTTCATATTTTGTAAAACTTTAACGAATTTTTGATTAAAAAACTCAAGGATTTCAAAGCGAGCCATGGCAACGTTGTACAGAAAAAAGATTTTTATCTCTAGAACGCGAGATTCCGTATCGGAAATTCTAAAGATAAGTTCAATTTAAAACTATTTTGCGATACGGCTGTTGAACTGAATTTTATGGTTTAAGTGTGAAGAACATGATATTTAATCAATAAAGGTAACAGAAAAAATTTTAAAGATCGCCCCTTTGGAATTAATTTAAAATCTGAAACTTTTCAGATGTTCTTTTTATTATTATTATCAATTATTATTATTATAACTGTGGTCAAAAGATGAAATGCTACGTTGCGTATGCATTTTGTATATTAGAGCTAAGTAAAATATTTATGTTATTTGTTGTACAGAATTTGGTTTCTATCCCCTTATT